AGTGATATTATAAGAAAATTAAAGAAAAGGCAAGTATTTCTTTCATGCACTTTGTAGAGTCAAATTTTTGTAAGTAACTAAGGAAAAAAAGTCAAAACATAATTTATAAAGGTTCAAATATAAAGAGAAAGGGCCATTAACAAAAGTGTAGCCTCTTTTCCAATTAGTTAAGAGTATTGGTATACTTAGGGTTAAGTGTCAATAGATTAAATAGTATTAGGCTAGATGACATATCGGGAAGTTCAAATTCAAGAGTTTTTTGTTTCCATAAAAGACCTCAAAATATCTTTTAACATTTGATTCATATTCTTTAACTCAAAATCATGAGATGCTGAATCATGCTAGTGTCTACCCATTTGATTGTGGATGCACACCACTACTTCTACTTAACTTAGTCTCTAGCTTCTCAAAGACTATTTGTTAAAATTTAGATATAAAGTTGGGATTTCAATCATTTATAATACCATCCTAGAGACTAAATAACTCATCTATAAATAATTAAGAAAGTTTAAAATCTTTAATTATAGTTTTCATTAGGAAGAAGTGAATAACATTCATTCCTTAAAAAGTTTTAGGCAAATTAATGATATTGTATATTGAGATGCTATTCTACTTATTCTTGGGTACATATAAAGGATGATAGAAGCTAATAAAATTTTGATGATCAACTTTGATCTCTTAGCAATTAAATTTCATTCCAAGCCAAAAGAAATACTTTTTTATTAACATATATGTCATCAGTCTAGATGTTTAGTAATTAGCACATCATAACACTTAATTAAGATTTATTTGATGAGTTTATCAACATAAGGAACCACCATATGTCCCTTTTTCACTAGGATGCCTTTTTTCATATCTCTAATGACACAAATTTATCACATTTCAAATCTATAGAGATATCCTTTAATAAAACTTTCATGTGCACATTAATGGTAAAGGAGTCAAAGTCAACAAACTTCTTAAGCTCATTCAATAGATCACTTGATAGCTTCACGAATGAAATAAAATTCACTATCCTATATAAAGTATCAACCACTTTATTGCCATCTCTATGCTTTTACCAATTTTAATATACATCTTCTATAAGAACTTTTGCCAATAAGAAAAGTTTCCTTGAAATTTCTTTTGATGATTAAAATTCTAGAAACACTAATGGTTTGAATTCAAATAAAAATTTGATTTATATAGATAATGTTGTCATTCATTCGTAATAGTGATCATAGGACACCCAACTTAAAGCAAATAATAATATAAATCACATTTGTCTATACCACAAAAGGCTTATAAAGATAAAAAGGCTTTTATACTAGAGTAGAGATATAATTAAGAATTAATTTAATGAATTTAATAAGAATTTATTAATTTATTAATTTAATTAATTCAATCTTACCTCTCCATCTTCTGTAAGTATATAAAATTTACCACATAATAACCAAAATTATATAGATGTTTGTATATTTGATAAGGTAGTGGAAGCTTGTAAATATTGCCTTTGCTACAAAGCTTATAAAAATCAAAACTCTTAAATTATGAATTGAATTTTTTTGTTATATATAGTTTGATATTGTTATATTCCAAAGAGTCATTAGAAGAATAGAAAAAAAACTTTGATGTAATAAAGGGTTCTATCTCATAAATTTAGATTATAGTTTAGCAGTCAACTATAGTAAATTTTATTTAAAAAATAATGAAACACTTTATATTATAATTAAAGTAATAAACAATAAATTCTTAATGTTAGGATCTTATTCCTTGCATCACTAAAGGGATCACTTGATTGTAAGGCCCTTTCTTTGTTCTATTATCCTAATGTGGTGTATAACAATCCTCCCTTTGTCAAGGAATGATCATTTGAACAAGCATACTTAGGCCACCCTCCGGTCACTATAGTTCTTCTTTTAGGTCTGAACTATCCTTAGTTCTCCCTTTAGATCCATTATATTGAATATTCCTTTAAAATATTCTTACCCCACTTGTCAGCCATAAAAATTAAATTGAGCTCCAATACCAATGTTAAAATTTTATCCTTTACACCTTAACCCAACTGAATAAAAAGGTGTTCACTTAATTGTAAGGCTTTTTCTTTATTCTATTATCCTAACTTGGCAATTCTGTCGTCGTTAAAGAATGATCATCCACAATCATATTTAGCCCACCCTCTAGTCACTATAGTCTTTCTCTTAGGGTCTATTAAATCTTGGTTATCCCTCTATATATAGGGTATATAATGCATTTTTCCATAAAAAATATGTTTCAAATCTCCTTTACCAAATCATCTTTGAACTATTGTCAATTACAATCACTTGATTAGTTGGTCTTGTTTTTTAAAATACTTTTCTTAATTTTTGCCTTCTTTTTTTTAATGATATAAGCAATATAAAAACCAATGTAATCCATAAGTTCATTTCTTCTTGAGTTTTGTTTCCAACTCAAAAAACTACTAATGCTATCAAATTTATCTATTGCTTCTATACAAATATCATCATGAGGAGGATTTAACAAATAAATGAAAAAAAAGAGTAACTATGAATCATGCAAATGATTCAAGCAAAAAATCCACCAATGCTTGAAAAAGAGAGAATGAAATAGGATATTGACCTTTGAATATGGTTTAGCTGTAGATAACCTATTCTAACATGAGCTATTTGTATTACTATTGGTGGTTCAAAATAAGTCAAGAAAAGTTTTGTGAATGCGTTGAAATGAAATGCCTATTGTTGCGTAATAGTGAGCTGCCAAAAGAGTGCCTGTCCTGAAAGAGACAACTGGAAGTATGCCATCACCACTAAGAACGACTTAACAGTCTCCACATGCAGCTGTGGGTCTTTATCCAATTCACCGCTGAAGTTAGGCAGAATTGCCACTGTATGTGTGTCCAGAGTGCTTTGATGCCGATGCAGCATAGATTTCTTAGAACTAATTGCTGGAGATCTGAACTTTAGATCAGGTTCCTGACACCAGCACCTCTATACCCCTGAAGTTCATGAAATCCCGCACACATGTAAGCCCTGATCTGCCAGATATACCAGGCTAGTCCTCCTTTGTGACTCTTCTACCTCTCTACTAGATTGAAAATTTGTTCTTTCTAACTAAAGAGTCCTATTTCATAACCTTTTACTACAACATTTATACTCTAGTTCATGTCCAGAAATTATATATTTTTCACTATATTTCGGCACCCTAACTTGTGCCGGACGATTGAACGTGTCACCTAGTCCACGTGTGGCAAATTCTCCGGGTTATGCAAAGCATCGGCCAAAGGCACAACTACGCACTAATCTTCGGCTGAAAAACAGCCACCGAAGCATGACTGAACTCTCTTTCGGAGTTTTCATTGGAATTCTTTTTGCGTTTAGCTGGGAAGTCTCACACCGTGACACCTTAAATCAATACTACCACGCCTTGGAGAAATCCCACCCTCGCAACCCAAAGTTCTCTAGGTAACTCACAGCTTAAACCTCAAAAAGCCTTCTACTAGCGCTTCAGTCACATTCATAACTCCGCCCATTCGAGCGCTCCAACCACAAATGCCCGCACCCAAATCCCCCAGACATCATTTGAGTATCTTTGCGCATCTCCTTGCCACCTCGTTCTTCTAGAACCACCGGTCTACTAATGCCTTTGTAAAAATACCTCCACGCCTTCAATCATTCCCCGATTTTGGGCGGCACAAACTACCTCTCATGCAAGATGCTCATGAGTTGCAAGGAGAGAGATAGGCTGTTGTGCCTCCCAATAATTATCCTTGTCGAAATAGGCCGAGGAGATCGACCATGCACAAGTGGTGTGTGTAGATTAGGTTAAAATAACATGTATCTCCACCACGGAGCTCCACGCTGCCTGTGGCAGTATAGGGACGCTTCCAAGATCTTCGACGCTCCGAGATCTCTTACTCAAAAGTTTTCTTGGCGGCTTTGTTGCTCCTGCTCTGGGCATACACAGCAAGCAAAGTCCAAAAGACTAAGTCGGGCCCAGGCGTAGCAGCAAACATCACTCTGTTTCTTCTAGGCGTCCAGCACCGGAGAAAGAAGCTAGCATGGCATTCCAGGAGACCACGTCGCTCCCTGGCTTTCCTCACAAGACCTCTTTGGATTCTTCGATATGCCCGATCTGGGCATATGTCATTCGGTCGTAAGTTTTCTTTGCCCCAGGACAGTTTCCCAGCTCTAACGCTCTTGCCGAAGATGCAGCATGAAATCCCACGAATGCCATGCCACAGCTGAATCCCGTATCGGAGGATTCACTCCTATCAGCTATGGACGATAGGTCAGATAGAAAACGCGAGAACTACCTTTGAGCAAATGCCCGAGAGAGACCTCACCATTTAAACCACTTTATTATGAGTGAGTTAAAAGTAAACTTATCATTTTGTTACTATGAAATGAAACTGTCATTTCCTATTATAAATATAATTGCCATAGTGTAAAATACTCTTACATATCCAGTAAAATATCCAGTTGCTTGAGTGAAAATGCCCTTAGCCAATTTTTTACACATTGAATACCACTGTACTGCGCATTTTGATCGGCATATGCTTGCACATGGTCGCAAAATGCCCAGTCAACAAGGTAAGAAGGGTCGTCGTGGCCAGCCCGGCGGGCAGCCTGCCAGCCAGGCATCCGGGCAGGGGCACGTGGCCGGCCTGACAACCTCTTTTCACACTCACACGCCCAAATAGCCCGTCTCTTCCGACAGCCCCTGCCGACGTGGCACATCTCCGCCACTGATATATTTCCACGTGGACAATGCCCGATTTAAAATCTGGCACAATACCGCCGGAATATGCCGCCGCGTTCTCGCGGTGATGTCATACGGCGTAAGATTCCGTGGCGATCCGGAATGTTGCTGCCGATGTCTTCCGCACCGGAATGGCAGGGGAATGTGGCGCGCGCTGCGGAATGACGAGCCGATTGAAAGCGTGGACGGTCCTCGAAATGTCCAGCTAATGATCGTTACGGCCATTTTCACTCATTCATTTAATGTTTTTCACTTGTCCCCCCTCTCTCTCCTCCCTTCTCTCTCTTTCTCGCTCTCTCTCCTCTCTCAATCTCCATACACTGTGCTTGCTATGGCGGAGTAGGGTTTATTGCCGCGGCAGGGGGAGGGGAGAGGCAATAATCCGGCGCTGCTAGGCGCTGGCGCGAGAACTCAGCTGCGGCGAGCAGGGATTCCATCGACAGGTATGGATTCGGTCGATGCATTCCATCGCTCGCGAGGAGCAGGAGGAGGTTCTTGGATATGAAATCGCTGCCGCGGGGGCGGATTTGGAGGAGTCGGTCGATGATCTCACATATTTCGGCTGGATCGGGGATTGCAACGCGCTTGGCTCCAGGAGCTTAGGGTTTGAGAAGGGGAAGTGATCTGACACACTGGTACTAAAGCTCCAGCTGTGATATTTGTCTCATTCTCGATGAGGCTACCACAGACAAGCTGGTTGCATTGGCTGGGAGAAGCATTGCGGCCGGATCTCTAGCTCACGGGGGATAAGCCGGCAATGGGGCACCCGGATCGATCAGGGATTGGTAGTAACAGTGGGGCGTTGTAGCTGGCGAGCAAGGAATCTGGGTGTTTTGGAGGGATTCTAGTGATGGGCTGCTGTTTCTCCAGAGTATCCAAGGAAGGGTCTCCAGCCGAAGAAGCTCCTCAACCGGAAACTCCTGGGCTAGGTGCGTGGATGTTTTTATTTTTTTAATTTTCCCCCTTTCCTTCTGTTTTTTACAGAGAATGGTCGACAGCCTGATGTGGATGCGGTGCCACAGTTCAGGGAATTTTCTTTCGAGCAGCTTAGGGAGGCGACTAATGGGTTTAGTGCGGACTACATAGTGTCTGAAAGCGGCGATAAGGCTCCTAATCATGTGTACAAAGGCAGGCTAGATCAGAATCGATGGATTGCCGTGAAGAAGTTCCCGAAAACTGCGTGGCCCGACGCGAGACAATTCATGGTACTGGGTAGAATCCAATTGTTTTCAATGAGCGCACTTGTTAACTTCGTTTTGGTGGTTTGACTTCCAGGACGAGGCGTTTGGGGTCGGGCAAGTGCGGCACGAGAGATTGGTTAACTTGATTGGATGCTGCTGCGAAGGTGATGAGAGGTTGCTAGTCGCCGAGTACATGCCGAACGACACATTGACAAAGCACCTTTTCCACTGTAAGATTGCGGGTTTTTTTCCTGACTTTAAAACGGCGAATTCATGCATTCATTTCCTTCTCTCTGCAGGGGAAAAGCAACCTATGCAATGGAGCATGCGCCTGAGAGTGGCTCTCTACATTGCACAGGCACTGGAGCATTGCAGCAATAATAACCGTCGTTTATATCACGACTTGAATGCGTACAGGGTCTTGTTTGATCAGGTGCTTTTTAATCCTTTTCGTTCCCTCCTAGTGTATGCATTAACTGCAGCTGTTTTGCAGGACGGTGATCCGCGCCTCTCTTGTTTCGGTCTGATGAAGAACAGCCGAGACGGCAAGAGCTATAGCACGAACTTGGCATATACACCTCCTGAATACTTGCGAACAGGTAAAGCTCTCGTGCCTTTGTCACCTTGCGTATTCAAAGCTTTGTTTTCTGTTTGCAGGTAGAGTAACACCCGAGAGTGTTATTTATAGTTATGGTACTGTTCTCTTGGATCTTCTTAGCGGGAAGCACATTCCTCCAAGCCACGTAAGTGATTCAAAGCTCCTCTTAGCTTGTGAGTTTGTAATCCTGTGCTTCTTCATGTGTGCAGGCTTTAGATTTGATACGTGGGAAGAACATTTTGATGCTTATGGACTCATACCTGGAAGGCCAGTTTTCCAACGACGATGGAACCGAGCTCGTGCGGTTAGCGTCACGATGCTTGCAGTACGAACCTCGTGAAAGACCGACAGCTAAAATGCTAGTTCAAGCTCTTCTGCCTCTTCAAAAGCAGGCAGACGTAAATCTGATTTAAAACTCGTGCACTGCAATCATACTCATTTCTGGTTTTCGCTTTTCCAGGTCCCCTCGTATGTTTTGATGGGAATCCCTCGGGGAGAAACGCTGCCCCCGCTTGCTCTCTCCCCTCTCGGCGAGGCATGCTCGAGAAACGACCTTACAGCAGTTCACGAGATTCTCGTCAAGACTGGGTACAAGGACGACGAGGGTACCGACAATGAAGTAAGTTTCCTCTCTCTGCCTCCAGAGATTTGCCGAGATATGATATAATACCTCCTCCTCTTTCAGCTCTCTTTCCAAGTGTGGACCAAGCAAATGCAAGACGTGCTGAATTCACGAAAGCGAGGCGATGCCTCTTTCCGGGACAAGGATTTCAAGTCTGCCATCGATTGCTACACACAGGTATGGTACCTTTCTCTCTGTTTCTTTTCTTTCTCTCGTTTTTGCTTCTGGAACTGAGGTCGGCTTTACTTGACAGTTTGTGGACGTTGGCACCATGGTATCACCGACAGTGTTTGCACGGAGAAGCCTGGCGTATCTCCTGAGCGAGCTACCTGAGGCAGCGCTCCGAGACGCAATGCAAGCCCAGTACGTACACCCCGAGTGGCCCACTGCCTTCTACTTGCAAGCCGCGGCTCTGGCAAAGCTTGGCATGGAGACCGACGCAAAGGACATGCTCAAAGAGGGCGCTGCCATGGACATGAAGAGGCAAAACTTATCGTAGCAGCAGCAGCAGCAGTGCGCAGCAGTACTTAGCAGCAGAGATTGAAGTGAAGTGACGACGATGGTTTGAGCGATTCGATAAAGCAAGGACAGCAGCAACAGCAGCAAAAAAGAAAAAAAAAGATCTTTTGGTATCTGGAAGAGCCAGTGATGGTGGTGGTGATGGTGGTCGTGATCTTATAGAGAGCATCGGATTTTACGGACGAACAAAGGAAAAAGCTTACAACAGGGTATCGCTGGAGAAGAAATTTTAATGTAGGTGTTCCAAGGTCTCTCTTTTTTCTCTCTCCCAGGAATATGGAATAGCAATCCTTTCTTGATGGCCGTTTATCTTCGCTTCGTTAGTTAAGGACACCTTTGCGAAAGTCGCAGTGGAAATGGCATGCTTTAAGGGCAGTGGGCCTTGCCGATTCTTGACCTAATTTCCCATTTTGCGATGAGCGCCTAGGGTTTGAGGTGAGGAGTGCGAGGAGCTGGGCGGCGACGTGAATCCGGCAGGCAAGAATCGGCACTCCAGAGGTAGACGCATTGATCCGGCGCCTCGATCCAGCGCTTCTTTAGGGCGGAAAAAGAGAGGCGGCAAGCGATCGAGCGAGCATGAAGACGCCCGAGCAGCTCAAGGTGACCGAGCTCAAGGAGGAGCTGAAAAGGCGCGGCTTGAGCCCCAAGGGGCTCAAGAAGGAGCTGGTGGAGCGGCTGGAATCCGCGCTGCGGGATGAGAATGTCAGGGCGGAGGCGATGGCTCGCGCTCAGGCCCAAGCCCAGCAGCAGGAGGAAGCGATTGCGGTGAAGGCCGCGCAGGAGGAGATTGAAGTTCCGCCTCCAGTGGCGGAGGAGGAGATGGACGTTCCGGCTCCAGTGGCGGAGGAGACGGTTTCTGTGCTGGAAGGGACTCTTGTCACCACCACGACTGACGAGGTTTCCAATGTGGGTGAGATGGATTCTTTCGTGAAGGAGACGGTGATGGAAGAGACTGTCCATGTCACGAACTTGAACCAGCCGGCTCCCGAGGAGACGATGGTGGAGTCTGTGGTGACTGTGGAAGAGACGACCATCAAGGTCGTGGAGGAGATGCCATCCATGGCCGCTCCTATGCTGGAGGAGGAAGCTAAGCTCGAAGGAGGGGCTGTGGCAGCCGAGGGTCTTACTCCCACAGGGCTGGAAGAGGGGATTAAGCTCGAAGGAGAGCCCGTGGTGGAAGAGCTTGCTAAAGGTGAGAGCTTTGTAGTCGTGGAGAAGACTGAAGAGGTGGTTATCAAAGTGGATGTCGAGGCAAAGGCCGAGAGTGTGGAGGATGTCCTTGCCGCCACCCAGAATGTGCTGCACGAAGGCTTGAAGGAGATAGCCAGTGTGGAGGACTTGAAGAACGAAAGCGTCCTTCAGGATGAGACTCTGGAGGCCTTGAAGGATATGAACGAGGCCGTCGAAGACTTGAAAGACGCGGTGGAGGATGAGAAAGAGATTGTCGTCGAAGCGATGAAAGATGACAAGGAAGACTCCAAGGACAGGGACAGTGTGGAGGAAGACCTGAAGATCAAGGACAGTGACAAGGAGAGTATGGATAATGTGGACGGTGATTCGAAAGCCATGGATGTCGATGCTGAGGCCCAGGCGGGACTGAAGAGAAAAGACAGTAAGTGCCTGAATGTTTCTTTTCTGTCGTGAATGTGTGTCACTCATTTTTCTTTTTCTTTGCAGATGGCGAACAGCAAGTAGATCAGAGCAAGAGGCAGCGCAGGTGGAATTCAGGGAAAAATATGGGGGCAGATGTTGAGACAAGGCCTAAAGTATCGCCAGACTTGATTGTTAACGATGGTTCTAATCTTGCAGGTGGTAATTCCGTCGGTACTAGGCCTTTAGCTGACAGACCAGCCCGATCAGTTGTGTCTCCTCTATCAGACGCAGCCAACAACGGACGTATTGGTAAGTGTCTTCGTTTTCGCAGCAATACAATACTTAGTCACTCCCGGTTCTTTGCAGTGTCACCTTCAGATAAGAATCCCACAACATCTTTGAGAATTGACAGGTTTGTGCGCCCTTTTACCCTCAAGGCGTTGAAAGATCTTCTTGCAGACACAGGCAACTTTACAGATTTTTGGATGGATCAGATCAAAACGCACTGTTATGTCACGGTATGCGTGTGCATTGGTTTTTTCCCCTGGAGTTTGTGCTTACGTTTTTGTTTCTCCATTCTTGCAGTACTCCTCTGTAGACGAAGCAGTAGCTACAAGAAATGCTCTGCACAATCTGAAGTGGCCTGTGATAGGGGGGAAACAGCTAGTGGCAGAGTTTGTAGAGCCTGAGGAGGTGAAGCTCAAGGTTGAGAGTGGCAGCAATGACAAGCCTACCGTGACCATCCCTCGGGGATGCACTACTGGGGGATCAGCTTTCCCGTCTCCACACACGCCGGTGTCGCCTGTAGCTCCACCAGCGCACAAGGAAAAGCCAGCACCACCACCAAAGCGAGGTGAGCTCCTCTTTGTTCTTTTCGTTTTCCTTTCTCGTCTAACGAGCATCGTTCTCCATTGCAGAGGCTGAGCCGATGGTTACTCTCGATGATCTGTTCAAGAAGACGAGCGCCAAGCCCAACATATACTACTTACCATTGACCGAAGCGCAAGTAGCAGCCAAGGCGGTAGCGGTGGCAAAGTCGTGAAGAAGTAGTAAGCGCTGCTAAAAAACAACCGCCGCTTGGCTTTCGAGGCGCTTGGCGGAGATATCGTCTTCTTCTACAGCTGGGGTGGTGCTCTCTCTCGTCTCTCTCTCTCTCGTTATTTTTCTACTCTTGTTCTTCTTCCAGCAGCACAAGCTTTTGTTTGCAAAGTTTGAGAGAAAGTACGATGATATAAGTTATATATCGAGACTTGCACACTTTCTCCACTTCTCTTTGGGTAATTTTACGTATTTGATTATCTTCGACGAAAGGAATGACTTGTTTGAAGCTGGATGAAGAGATGCCTCATGTGAATATCCGTTGTAGTCTAGTCGGTCAGGATACTCGGCTCTCACCCGAGAGACCCGGGTTCAATTCCCGGCAACGGAATTTATATTTTTGCAAGTTTTAAAAAACATTTTATTGTTATTATTAAATCAAATTTAGTTACTTTAGTTTGCTTTGTATTGCGTTTTGCGTAAAATTTGATTGTAATGCTTACTTAGAGTGCAAAGGAAGGTTTTTTTTTCTAGTTTTTATACTCGAAAGCGAAGGGAGGGAGGTAGGATGGAAGCAGACGCGCAACAAGAAGTGACACTGATAAGCTATCGGAATCGCCACAAATCGAGCTTGAGAAGAATGGAGTTTCGATGGAGAGCGTGGTGGCCCAAAGGTCTGTTCCCGTGCTCTTGGAAGAAGAAAATCCGCGCCAAGTTCACTCGTTTCAAGTCGAGGGAATCGCCACCACCAGCAGCAGTAAAACCGGGAGAGGGGATCAAGCGATCAAGCAGCACTTCTTCGCGTTCGAGGAAACTCACCAGAGTAAACTCATGTGGTGCTGCGTACGTTGGAATTTACAACGAGCCTGGCGCTGATTCCCGGAGCATGCCTTACTCTCGCATCCAGTGTCCTCAGTTTGTGCGAGAGCTCACGTATGCTTCCTGAAGATCTTCGCTACAATCATGAATGTCTGAATAAACAAGATCACCTGGATCTTTTGTCGCCCCGAATTTTTATGAGCAGTGGCCTGGCGCTTTTGTCTCTTTGCTCGCGTCCTAAGTACACAAACACGTGAGTCTCTGCCACGGGAAAGGGAGAAAGCAAACGAAAAAACGTTACCTCCTCCGATACAGAGAGGCTCTGCCACTGTAAGGAAATGTGCTTAGTTGCTTTGTTTGCATCTTCGTTTTCGTCGTCCCTTGTCTCGTTCTCGGTGTCCGGTTCTTCATCGGAGTCGACGCGGTTCATGTTCCTGTGAAGAGGTGGGAGCTCGTCGTCATTGTCGCTGCTTTGCTCTTGATCTTGTTCTTGGTTTTTCTCTGGATGAAAGCAGGGAGGGGGTTATCCTTCAGCTGGAGAAAGAGAGAGATTTGCAGACCTGATTTCTCGGAGCTGCTAAGCCAGCTATTCTGTACTGCCACGACCTCTCCACTGTTTTTACACTTTGCATACTGTTTGAGAAGCTTGCTGCAAGAAAAACAAAAAAGGAACAGAAAGAGAATTAAAATCGAATTCCATTTGAATGAGTCAAGACTCGAGAGATGGAACCTGTTGAGCGACAGAAACCCATGGCCCCATTTGAACTTGCTCAGAAGCTCTGTACCCAGCTCTTCTTTTCCACTGCATGCATCCTATTAGCGCGAGTTATCTTTTTTTTTTTTTAAAAGGGAGGCGTACCAAATAACCAGTGCCGCGGTAAGAGCTTCTACGCACGATAGCTTGCAAGGCCGGCCATAATTTGTTGGATTGGCAGCAACAAGCCATGGCACTGCATGTACAAGAAAAAGAAAAAAATCTGGAGAACAAAGAGAGGAAATAACTTACATAAACGGGCTGAGCCACTTCGAAGGTGGCCAAAAGGCACGGCCTCCAGCTTGGCCCAAGAACAATCGATAACCGCAAGACCACGCTCCTCGACCAGTGCTGCATCCTCCTGCGATATACATTTTTGCCCCACAGGACTGCTCGAAAACTTTCAGTACCACGCAAAGAATTTCGCAAAGAAGGAAAGCAAAAATTGCTGCAGTGCTCACCTCAAAACCACACCAGCAAATCTTTGATGTACACGAAGTTCCTAGAGCGAGGAAGAAGAAGAAAAACTTGTAAGAAAAAACAAACATCGCATGGGAATGACAGAAACCATCACCTTGACATAGCCAAAACGAGAGAGTTTTTTCCCAGTACATTTTCTCGGGTCGCATTGCTCAAAGTCCTTAAAGTCAAGTAAGTTGAGGAAAGAGAATGAAACAAAGACGCAATCTTACCCACATAGCAAGAGGGAATGGGAATTTCTTCTTCTTCCCCGTATCATCCTCGGGATCTTAAACCCACACAAATCTTGAGCACCGCAAAGAAATGGACACTTGCCTGGTGCGGCAGACGTCGTAGGCTGCTGGAATTCTTCGTCTCTGCGGAGAGCAAGTAAGAGATCCAGCCTAGAACATACGAAATCTTACACGAGCGACGACGCGCAGCGCTTGTCCCTCCCTTGGCGTCGCATCGTTTTTCCCCGTCCCATTTCTTCCCTGCTAGAAACCCTAAACCATAGAAAATAAAATAATACAATTAATAATGAGTTTATTTTGTATAAGTAATTTTACAATAGTTAAAAATGAAACCTCTATTATTTATTGCAACAATAAATTCTTATCTAAAATTTTGCCACTGTAAAGTTTATAAATATATGTATGTATATACATATATTACCCTATCTAGGTAATATATTAAATATAGTACTAAAGCATATGGACTGTTCATTTAAGATTATCCATTCTTGTATATAAGCAAATGTTTAAACCCCTAATATATTTATTCTTATATTTCGAGCATTCACATTAATAGAGGCCAATAATACTAAGTCAAGTGGAACATTTGGAGTTTCTATTAGGCAATTATATATTCCCACAAAAATCTAAAATTTCCACAATACCACCAATAAAGTTGCTAATAACCATGATTGAAATAAAACCGAAAGCAATGGCATAAACATTAGACAATTATAAAATCCCAGTGAATTAGTTGTAACTTCGGATATAACTCCAAAATGCTCAAACCAACCACACAATTATAATTTTGAACCAAAGCAAGGGACTTTGAGAGTTATTATAGTCCATAAAGCACCATTGTAACAAACAATACATCATGTCTCTAAGTTTGCATGTTGATGATCTTCCAAGATAATTATTAACTCGGACTTAAAACCATAAATAGAACCATCATCTTCATCTAACACCACACATAGGAGGTTAGACTCATTTTATTTGTCCTTTACATCCTCTTTATCCCCTACTTAAAGGAAAAAAAATTCTGAAACACTAGTTCTATTTAAACCCTAAACCCTAAACCCTAAATTGGACTCGTTGTATTTGTCTTTACTTTGTCATCTATGTTCGGCCTTACTCCATTATCGCATCCATTTGGCCTCACTACATTGGGGTTGGATGTTCCATTTGGATTTGCTATACTCGTTTTTGCTCCACAATTTATGTCGTTTATCTTTGCTCCACTACTGTATTCACTCGTCCTCATTCTATTGTTAGGGCTGGACTCCCATCTGTCCCCTCTAAAGATAAAAAAGTTTGAACAGTTAGGGTGGAAAGGAGAAAATAAGAAAAATTGATGAAAAACAATTATGGAAAAAGAAAAAGTGGATAAAGAAGCATTGGAAGAAGAATTTGCAATAGGTAGCGATGTAGAAATGGGGAAATAAAAAAAAAACATATGCTCAAAGCTTAAAAAAATACTTCAACCACTATAATATAAGCAAAAGATTCACATCACTCAACCTCCTTAACACACAACTCAACACTTGAGACAAGAAAATTAATAATAATGTCCATACTCTCAAAGGAATACATAAACTCCTCAATAGTAATAGTAAGGTAAAAACTTTCAATAGCACTGTAGCACATGTGATCATGGGATGAGATTTGGATATATTGTCATTGTAGATCCTTGGAACCTTGGGGGATAAATAGGGATATAATAGCTATTAAGGCTCTCTTATCAAACAATTGCCTCTTTTTTAGTTGGCTTAAGAGGAAAAAGATAAGGTGTACTATATGTGGTATCAGAGCAAATGGCATAAGTTCAATTTCTATTGATTAATGGCTATTTAAAAATATAATATACCCTTGAGCAAGGTATATTTCTACCCTTAAATTTGAAATCGTATGTATTGCGCATCTAGCGTATGTCCTTCCTTTTATGTGGAGTATCCACAAACAAAGTTATCCACTGTGGGACTGCGGTATAAGTTGATAATTAGTTGCCTTACATGAAATAGCTAATCTACACAATGGAAGGATTGGTAAATTCACATGAAATAGTTAATCTACACAATAGAAGGATTGATAGATTTAGTGTTGAAATAGAGGTGCTGATTCCTTTTAATGAGGACAATAGAAGGATTGGTAGATTTAGTGCTGAAATAAAGGTGTTGGTTCTCTTTAGCTTAATAGGGGTTATTAGTCAATAGTCAATAAGGACATTGACATATCTGAAGGGGGGTGAGTGTAATAAAGGTTGTTAGTCAATAGTCAATAAGGATATTGACATCTGTGAAGGGGGCTCAATAAAAATTGTTAGTCAATAGTCAATGATCAATAGAGATTGTTAGTCAATAGTCAATGTCAATAGGGGTTATTAGTCAATAGTCAATAAAAACATTGACATCTCTGAAGGGGGGGTGAGTATAATAGGGGTTGTTAGTCAATAGTCAATGAGGACATTGACATATCTGAAGGGGGGTGAGTGTAATAAAGGTTGTTAGTCAATAGTCAATAAGGATATTGACATCTGTGAAGGGGGCTCAATAAAAGTTGTTAGTCAATAGTCAATGATCAATAGAGATTGTTAGTCAATAGTCAATGTCAATAGGGGTTATTAGTCAATAGTCAATAAAAACATTGACATCTCTGAAGGGGGGGTGAGTATAATAGGGGTTGTTAGTCAATAGTCAATGAGGACATTGACATCTCTAAAGGGGGCTCAATAAGGGTTATTAGTTAATAGTCAATGAAGATATTGACATTTTTAAAGGAGGGGTGAGTGTAGCACATGTGATCATGGGATGAAATTTAGATATACTATCACTGTGGATCTTTGAAACCTTGGGGGATAAATGGGGATAAAATAGCCATTAAAGGCGCTCTCATAAAGCAATTACCCTAGCTTATATACAGGAGCAAGTCGTCCGAATTGAAACTAATCCAACGGCTACCAAAATCCAACTACGCTAATATTAGTATACGGCATCGTAGCCGTACACTT